ATTACTATTGCTCTTCTCATATTAAGTCTTCTTGATGTACAATGTACTTCACTAGTTCTATTCATTTCTTTCCAGAAGCTTGACCAGTTGTGTAGTGCTTGTTCAGTTTCTGGCTCTAGTAATCTAATTGGTTTTGTTTCTCACCAGCCAGCTCCAATTCTAGCATTAACAATTATCTTGCAAAGAAGTCTTATTGGTATGTTAATTTTTTTGCTTTCCTATTCTATATAGTACTTTATTCTGCTACATTTGATTTTTTCTATACAGATTATTTCTTTGCTATTTGCTCCTTTCTTTGCAAGTAAATCTGCTCTATCATTCCACTTGTCTTCACTATGACTTTTAACTTTAAATCATTTCTATTTTAATGTTTTTGCTTTTGATTAAGTCTGTAATGTTCATTATCCACATTGCAATTTTCTTTTTGAAAATTCTTTTGTTTCCTATATTTTGTATTGCTTTGTTAATATTTCTTAATGCTGTACTGTTATCTATAAATATTTCTATATTTTTCTTCTCTGATACTGTTAGAATTGCAGACCATATTGCTGCTAATTCTGGTATTGTTGCTGAGATCCATCCTTCGAGTCCTAGTGCCCTTTCCTCTTTTGGTCAATTTTTTTCATCTCCCAATTGCACCTAACTGATATCCATTTTTCCTATACTATCTCTTGTCTTCTTTTTATATAATGCTTCATCTGTATAAAAGATATACTTGTTCTTGTTTCTTCTTTTATTTCTTGCTAGAATTTCTATTAAGTGATTCGCAATTTTATTGCTTATCCCTTGTTTTCTAATTAATTCTACTTCTAATTCTTCTATTCATTTTATTTCTATTAGGTTTCTTTTGTCTCTTCTCCAATCCTCTGTTGTTTTGTTATCTGTTATCTGTTCAAGTGTTGCATTAATTCTATTATTGCCTTGCTTGATTATTGTTTCTGCAATTACTTTCATATTGTAATCAAGTTTTATTCATTTTTTGTAGTTGTCTGATGTCTCCTCTGGTTTGTTTTCACAACCTTTGCATTTACTTATTTTTATAGTTGTTTTCCCCTCTTCTTTCTTTATTATCCAATGCTCTGCTAGTATCTTTTTCTCTTTCTTCTTGATTACTTTGCTAAGTTGTTGATTGTGTTTTGACCTATGTATAATTTATTCTTTTTTCCTTCGATCTTTTGACAACTTCATTTATTTGATTTTTAATGCTTGAGTGTTGTAACTGTTTGTTTTATAGTTGTTGTATATTTCTCTGCTTGTTTGTGTTATTAGCAGTTTCCTTTTTATTTTACCAAATCATTTGACCTTTTTTTCTTTACATGACAGACCTAGGTGGCACTTGAGTTGTCTTCATGCAATTAGACTTTCACCTTTTGGATCTATAAGCTGGTTTAAATATAACAGTCCTATTTGTTCATTATGCTGTTACTTGTTAACCATGTTTTAGTTTCTATTATATCTCTTATTTGTTTCCTATATCTGTACACTTTCTATAAAATATCTTCTGTTTTGATAGTTATGCCTATCTCTTTGGCTTTAGCTATTGTATGACAGGTTAAATTGTTTTTCCAAAATTTCTTTTCTTTTATTTTCTCTTTGTAATTTCAAATATCATCTGTTAACCCTGTGATTTGGAATCCTTGTGTTATTCTAAGTCTAGTTAGCTTACCTAATCTATCCTTTTTATTAAGTCGTAAAAAGAAGCTACTTATTTGCTTTGTTCTTTTTCTTTCTTTTATAAGTCTTCTCTGTAATATTTCAATAGTTATGTTATTCTTTACCTTTAGTACATTGCAGAACAACAAAGGTGATTTTCATTACATCTAATAAGATTACTATCTTTTCTTGAGAAAATGAATCTCTAATTTTTGTTACTAATTTAGTATTTTCAAAAGCTTCTAGGAATTCAAATTTATTATTTATTTTAGACATAATAGTCTTAGTCATCTTGATTATAATTCAAATATTATATAACTTATAAAATTTAATGAAATAATAGAACTAAGGGATGGGGTCCTATAGCTCAGTGATTTTGGTACCCTCACTTTACAGACAAGATCAATAGTTTAATTCCAACTGGAGACAAAACTCTGTAATCTATAGAAACATATGAATGTATGTGAATTCTTATAACTAAGTCTATATAATTAGAAGATCAGTGTACAAAGAAGTTCTCAGAAAGAAGTTTCCTAATATGAAGAGTTGAAGTTTTAATGCGAGAAAAGTGGTGAACATATTAGAAATAAAGAGAAGATGTACTAATAGATGATATAGTAAACATAAAAGAAAACTATAAAAAAAGGATGAATTTAATAAAATTTAAACATTTCTGATATCAAACCAGTTCTAGTAAATATAGGATCTACTAAAATTAGATAAATCTAAAAGATAATCTTGATATCATACTTAGTAAGTTTATGTTAAAGGTTAATTTGAAGAACTATGAATACTTAGTAATATCCAATAAAGTAGTACTTAGATATAAATAGTAATTAGATAACCTTAATCTGTTCTGTCATAATAATAATGATATATATTGTATATATATGCAGTAAGTGTTGAAAATCAGAAAATTTAAACAGGAGACTCATAAGCAGGTCTCAGGTATGGCATCTAGTAGGTAACCTATGAGCAGAACCCTTAATTAGATAATGACTAAAGTTATACATGTGATTAGTTGTAATTTCATTGATATACCCTGTATATAATATTTAATCTTATATTACTAATAATAAAAAAACACACAGGCAAGATCACTCTTGAAACTAAAAAAAAAAAATGAAATGATAGAGCTTTGCATATATTTCTACTGACAGGTAAGTCACGTATAAAAAGAGGCAAATATTTATATGAATATAACTAGTAATATATGATTAACTTTTATTAACAAATGATGAAAAGTATTTGTTTATTAAAATATATTAAGTAATAAATATATACTTTTTTTTATTAAAATTTTGTCAAAGTGAACAAAAAAAATAACAATTAAATTTCTTATATATAATCATTTGCTAATCAGAGAACTACTAGATGATTAATAATATAATTTGTTACTCCGATTAGTGAACTTAGAAAGATACTTTTGACAATCAATTCCGTACATCCTTATCAAGAATGTACTTACTCTTAAAATATTTACTAATTGACTTTATTATTGGAGAGGTACGGTACGTTCTTGATAAGTATGTACGAAATTGATTCTCAAAAGGGCATAAATTGGACATTGGCTTCTCTTTGGATAAGAAGTTTTCTTTTGGCTACGATAATTATGCGCAATTTAATTCTTAATGTGATTTTAATTTGATCTGCAGCATTTTTTCCTGCATTTTAACAGTTAATTAGTTCGTGATGTTTAGTTTTAGTATTTACGCCTTATTTATTCTTTCGGTTTATTTAGTCCTTGCTTTATTTATTTTTACTGTTTAAATTGTTCAAATACTATACTTATTTAAAAAATAATATAAAATGAATTTCTTTTCCTCGTTTCGCTATACGTTTGCTCACGTGATATGATCGTACGTGCAAAATCACGTGATTTGGTACGCGCCCGTAGACGCGCTGAAAAATCGTCGTATAACAGTCTGCGTCACGTGAAATGTTAATTTTGATAGAGATAAGATCAAGTTTCGCCTAGTCTCGCCCAGTTTCGCCCAATTTCGCCCAGTTTCGGATTTTGGGCGAAACCGAAACTCAAAAGCCGAAACGTTTCGGACTTCGGTAAAGGGTTTAGGCCGTAACACTATAGCTACGTAACCGAAATAGGCTGAGTGGGGGGGTTACCCTAATTTGAGTAGCCGTAGTCACGTGCCATGTGACTTCCCCGGATAACACTATATTCATATTATAGCTGAGCAATTCTTCAGAACAATTTAAAATAAATGCGGATTTTCCCCTGAAAATGACCTTATTGGATACGATAATTACTACGTCCCATAAAGTCATTTTCAAGGTAAACCCAAAATATCATTATACTATATAATTTTATAGCAGATATTCACTATGTCGGTTGGATTTTCATAATGAAAAAGAACGAAGATTGTTAGATAAGGAATGTTGAAATTCGGATTTTAACTATAAATTCTTTCATTACTGCAGTACTGTAAAAATTTAGGTAATGGAATTCTTATAGATCAACTATTTCAAATGATACTTCAGCAATGACTGTAATAGTTATTGGTATTGCATCATCATCTAATCCAACGGAATATTCTGCTTATGTACTATTTTTATTAATGTAATTATCAAAATTATATTATAAGTAGTCTAACTATTTGTGATTAAAATTATTTCAAAAAATAAACATAAATTCAGGAAAGGAGCATTTTCATTTAATTCTTACAGATTTTTAAGGTAGAGCAGCACTACCAAGTACGGAATAAAAATTAAAATAATAAAGAATAATATTAAGCATTATCGTTCTTTTATTTACGGTATTTTATTATATTCTGTAATTATTAGGTTGGACCACATATCCGGATATTCTGTAGTTTTTATTGTGACTCTCATATGCTACCACGCTGAAAAGCAGTAATATGCTAAAAATTTATCCGATTTCATAAATGTTCGTCTACTTTTGATTACAATTATTTCCTTGCCCTTGGTAAATTTTTATAGATTCACCCATACCTTAATTGAAAAAATTGTTTGTGAAATGTGTACCACTAATTATTATTCATATATTCTATTGTATCATTAATTACTTGAAGTTTCTTCGTTGAGATGAGGCAGAGTCAAAATATAAAAGTTATATTTAAAATTAAGTGGTGATAAAAGAACTCAAAAATTTATTACAAGAATGGCAGCTTTTCATTTATAAAGTATACAATTGCAAAGCTTCAAGATTTTTTGAGTATCATAATAAAGTATTAAACAATATGTCACGAGAAATTTTTTGAAAAACAGAGCAATGAATTACATAAAGTCACACGATATGATAGGCCATCGTTAGTCATGTGGATAAAATCAATAATAGTTTGTGAGAGTTAAAATAGAATTAACCAAAATTAGCTAACAACCCGATTATTTGTTACATCAGAAGTTTCCATTCTCCTGGGTGTTATATTATTATCTTGCTCTTCTTTAGCAGATGCAGCGTAATCAGAGATAACTTTAGCAAAATAACTCTATGAAATTAAAATGTAATAATTAATCATTTACAGAAAGCATTATATCAATATTAAAATTTAAAACCAAATATATTAAGCTTACCAAAAGAATAGCACCAATAAAACTAGCAATTACAAGGGTCATAAAATAGCTCAAATAGCCATTTGTAGCAACAACAATGGTAATATAGATGGCATATGCATAATGAATGAACACGATAAAAATAAAAAGCCCTGAAAAGGTTTTCAAGAATCGTGCTGATTCCTAGATTTAGCCAGATGTTAATAGTATACTTTATAATATTTAGAATATCAAAAACATGTGACACATACCGCGCAACAGACAACAATAAGTCCGAAGCCTGCTACTAGAATCGTTAGAGAATTTGCAACCATAGCAACATAAGCTGATGATCCAAGAACATCTAATACGTGAAATTAATTAAAAGTATTATTACTTAAACATATAACAAGAAATAAGAAAATAATGTAAATTACAATAGTGATAATCTGTAAGAAGCTGAATATTTTGGATAAGGCCTAATATTCCTCCAGCCTAAGTACAAAGGAATTGAAAAGCAGAACTTTAGTTAGGATATAAACGTAAAGAATTTTAATTTAAAAATATTAAAAGTAACATACTAAGGTAAAAATTGTTATAGTTATAACACCCGGTCTCATAGGAATGCACCCGCAACATCGATTCATTCGAGCCATCTTTGATTATTGGATTAAATAAATTTGCGCTGAACTAACTTATTTTATAGTTTTCACGTACAACACTATGTTATAGATATTGTCTAAACTGGAATAAAAAAAAGCACTTTAAATGATTTTAATGACTATTAAAATTATAATTATTAATAATGTTGCCAATATACAGAATTTTTGTTAAGAAACTTGCGTTTTGCAAATAATTTTGGTTGAATGGTGGTTGTGTTACACGAGATGACGCCCATAAATGACATAGATAAATTTATAAATTGTTATTAGTGGCACTGGCTCTGTTTATTAGCATTTTAGAATGGCATACTGTCACATAATACTTTTTAAAACTTGTGTAAAAATTTTCCTTGCGCAATAAAAATATTTTGTATATCGTAAATGTGTACAAGGTTGGCGGCGAAGACTAAATTCTTAAAATTCGTCAAGCCTAGGGTTAGGGTCAAAGTTAGGATCTGAGGGTAATGTTTATATAGCAAAATTGTTCAGCGAAAACTTTTTATTAGAGCATAAAAGTGGTTTCTTATGCTGATTTTTGAGCTATGAGCGATTTTTGGCAGAACGAAAGTTTGGTTTGAATCTTCCTGATCGACCTAATCTTGAAATATGATTTGTAGTTCAGGAGATCTGTGCCACAAACCTTGTACACATTTACGATATGCAAATATTTTTCATAATGACATGGACAAATTTATGATTTGATTTTATTCGTTTTAAGAGTTAAGACGCGTACGCTTATTTATACGTTGAATGATGCAAATAAAATAAGAATACAGCCATCCAGAAACGTAGAAAAGTTGAAAACCAAAAAAATACAAAATACAAGATAATGAATGTTTATGACACGATTCTCACATTCTAACACAAAACTATATTTAACGTTTTCTTTTTTGATTGTATAATGTCAGTGACATTTGTAAAAATAAGTATTTTGAACTAAAAATGAGATATTACGGCGCATTTGTACAATTTGAATATTAACTAGACCATCACGGCCGATCCTGTTCAAACCTTAAAATTTAAATACGACCTAAATTTAGATTGTTTGTACTTTTATAGTGCCCAATATACCACGCCGTTGATTAAAATTAGATGATTTAAATTTTTGGGTATGAACAGAATCAGCCGCAATACTATGAAGTGCGTCATTTACTATTTTATTCACAAAGATATGCTCTAATGAATGAAAAACGCGAAAAATTATGAAACGGACGTACAAACCTTATTGTAATCAATGAGCATTGAATGAAACAGCCAAATAAGTACGTATATTTTCGTAAACAATATAGTGTGATATATTGATTGAAATAGAAACACAGTTTTTTTGTGCTCATGATCATTATAGAAGCCAATTGAATTCATGTATATTATCTCGAGACTGTAAGATGTCAGAATGGCAACTAATCCTAACTACCCAAATTAATACTAATTCTATTGGTAATCTATAATTAGACGCCCCTTGTTTCAGAAACGATCTCTATTTTTATATGTTTATGGCTTGGTATGAATATAAATATTTTTTCTAAAGTAGTATATATAATAATATTTGAACTAGCAGATAGTAGTGCCATAAGAAATCGGCAGTCACGTGATAATCGTCATACAGAATCCAAAGTTAATTGGTCAAAAATTTAGCACATTAGTCACACGATGATAGTTATACATAATCGTTATCTGATTGGTTTAATTAGAGTAAATATAGTAGACATTAAATAAACTTATCCAAAAATGTAATACGTACGAAAATTGCTAGATAATCTAGACAATTCCAATTTCCCAACGAGTCCCAACGGCTTCAGTGCCAATAGAAAACCTATATTCTTTGTTGGTATTAAATAAAAAACAATGGGTTTAACCTATTTATTTTTATCGTTATTCAGGTCAGAACTCATAAAAAAAATTCACTCAAATTAGTATTTTTAAGTAATATTTTGATAAATTTATGTATCAGGTTTATATATAAAAGTTAAAAGGTTTTGCAGTAATTATTAACAGTTGTAAGGATAATTTAAAACATGTATATACATTAAAAAATGTCTTAGAAATCTGTTAAAAAAATTGTATATTTCTTTTTTTTTGGTGTTAAGGTGAGGCCTTGCTCATATTTTTATTGGTAGTTTTTAAAGTTAGTAACTTCATGGAGTTACTATGTACAAAAATAATTTTGTATAAATGTTATGGTCAAAGCCAACACTTGCAATTAGAGTTAACTATTAAACTGTTAATTATATATAACTAACTTAAATACAAATAAAAAGAAAATTATATTCAAGAATAAAGCTCAAACATATTTATCTGTAACATAAACATACTAGAGTAGTCAAGACTCACTTAGATTGGGATAGTTAAAATATAGTTAAACAAGATATTGTATTTGATCCAGAGAATAGTCCATATATTGATTTTTCTAATAGCATGATCAAGAGATGAGTATGTATTGGAGTTTGAGTATACTTGATCAGGTAGTCCATATATATATGAGTATATATATGTTTGGCAGTTGTATCTAGTTTGTCTATTATGATTAGTTTGAATTAAGTGTTTAGAAAAAAAAGGTTTGAAATCTTATTATTTTTTTTAATTTAAAAAGTTTATATAATATAGTTTTCAGAATAGATCTGAAGAAACTTTGCTTTCCAGTTCTTGTTTATCAGCAATAATATTAGAAGCCTGTCCAATTCTAGTTTGTTCAGCGATGGTTCATCAATATTTTTTGTAGACTTTTGTGACATAACTCATTGCTTTTAAGTAGTATTTTAATAGTTGTTTATAATACTAATTTATAAGAAATATTAAAGTTTTGAATTGTTTGGATTAGAGATTTGGGTATAAATTCTTTAAGAATAATATCAAGATAGAATAAGTTTTCATTGAATGGTATTTGATGAAAGGTTTCATAATTTTGAATTTTTGAAATAAGTTTTTCTTGCTAAAGTTTAGAGAGATCCATATTGTTTTGACTAATGTGTTTGAAGATAATATCTTAAATAATACTAGTAAATAGTATTAGGTTAAAACATATTCACTAATATGCTGAAAGTTAGATAGGTTGCAATAAAAGCAGTTTGTATTATAGAAAGTACAGGTCAAATGAAGAATAAAGAGTGAATAATAGATAAATAACAGAAAAAAATCTGCTATTATTCTACCCTAAATCTGTCAAATAATGGCAGCATAACAGCAACATAATAGCAGAATAACAGTAAAATAACAGAAGGTTTGTTAATATGAGTAACTTAATAGTAATACAATAGCAAAATAATAGAACAGTTCTATTATTTTATTTTTATTTACAAAGACTAAAAGTAAAATAATAGAACTGTTCTATTATTTTGCTATTATGTTACTATTATGTTACTTATATTGACAAACCTTCTGTTATTTTACTGTTATTCTACTGTTATACTGCTGTTTTGCTGCCATTATTTGGCAAATATAGAGTGAATAATAGTAGATTTTTTCTGTTATTTACCTATTATTCATTCTTTATTTATTCATTTGACCTGTAAAGTATATAGGTATATTTTATAATATAGGAAGTGTATATATAATTTATTTAGTAGAATTTTGATTTTAAAGAATTTGAAATAATTAAGTTTGAAGTTGGTTATATTTTGTATTGGCTTTTGGTTATGATTAAAGTATAGCCAAGTAGATCTTCAATCTATTTCTGAAATAAGTTATTTTCAGTCTTGGTTCTGTTTTAAGATGATCATATTATCATGATGTAGTATTTTTAATAAATGTTCTTGTAGGATATTTTATAAAATGTTGGTCCCAGAATAGTATGTAGTATGAGTTGTAAAATATTAGTATAGTTAAAGTATAAATTGGAAAAAGATTATGTTGCTTAGTGAGAGAGTTAGCAAGGTTGTTCAGATTATTGTTAGTATAAGCTTGCACTTTATGAAAATTGATTTGAAGATTATAAAATTTAATAATATTTAATAAAGTATGTCATATAAACTATATATTGAATTTAAAAACTTTATTAAAATTGAAAAGTGTAGTATAAATATTAGTATATTTAGTGATGATAGATTGGGAATTTGTAAAAATGTTAACTATTGCATTTCAAAATATAGTAAAGATAGCTAAAAGACTAGTTATCAGTTTTGCTTTGTAGGATGATGGCTAGAAGTTAATTTTGGCAGAAAATTTGTAAATAATTTGGTTATTGTTATCGATCTAGACCCAGCCAATACCTATTGCATATTGGTCAGTTCCAATATTAATTACTAAACCATCAGTGTAAAAGTTAAGTTGTTGTTAAGAGCTATTGAGAATTGAATATTGTTTAAGTATGTTTGTTACTTCACTAGTTTTGAATATTTTGAAAACATAAGAGTTAGAAATTGAAATTGTTATTATTAAAGAAATTGATAATAGATATTTAATGGCTATTGAATGAATAAGGTTGATATAATTGGCATTAAAGTTTAGTGAATTAGAATTGACTCTTTCTAGAAATTAAAAAGAGATAATTGCCAATACATTAATTGTATATAAATTCTGAATTCTATTGGAGTTTAAATAACAGCCTAAGCAAGATAAGCATTGAGTTGGTAAAAGGAGATAATAGCCAGAGTGATTTATGTCAATATTTGTTTGCCAGTATATAATAGTTATTTAATTAGTGTTTTTGAAATGTCTGCAAATTTTGCCAATAATAATATTATTGTCAATATATATAAATAACCAGAGTTTAGATTTTTAAAAAATATGTTGTAAGCTGTATGTAAATGGATTATATTCTGATTGTTGATAGTATAAAAGAAGAATTCTGAAACTATTCTGAGCCATTATGGTGTCTTTCAAATAAGTGAACTATAATGGTTTTTGGACTTTAAATAAGTATAACAGTCATGATAAAAGATGTTTTCATTTCAGTAAAGTGATGTTATTAACTATGCAAAGCTGTTCAAGATATAGGATATTAAGATTTCTGATTTGTTTTTTAAAACTAATGGATTGATAAAATTGATTCTAGTGAT